AACAGCAACCTATGAGTACCTCTTGAAATCTGGAAGACTATTTGAATGCTTCTCCCCTTGTTTCAAGCAGAGTTTTTAAGGAGAAGTTCCTATGCATGTCAATCTCTTCATGCTGCAATTCATATGCAGAACTCATAAGATGCAAGACCAAGACCAGCCAAGATAAATACAAACCATATACTAAAGACAGCAGAATGAATGGGACAACTTCTAGTTGTTTAACAGAGCAAGATCTGGAACTTATGCCAAAATCCACTTGACTGCAGCTTAGTCAAGTATTTCTGTGAGACAGGTTATTCAGTAATAACACAAGTAAGATGACCATGACAAAATAGCTGAAACAGGATAAAACAAAGGGAATAAACCTGCAGCATCAACTAGTTCTAGCAGTTCTGTTTAGAAAAGTGGGTTATTTCCACTTACTGATGACAAGATGCTCTCAAACTACCTTAAGGAAAAACTAAAATATACGACCAAACAAAAATCAAGACCCACTATTGTAGATTATGTAGTTATTAAGCCTAGATGTCTAAAATTATGCAGCCTGTCATTTATGTCAGACTTTTTTCACTCAAAGATTAAGAAGGGAGCTATGTCTACTATGTGATGGAATGTGGGGATATAGGAAAAATCTGCTTCATGACTGTATTAATTTTGCTACCTTTTGTTGCAGTATGATGCAATGCAGAAGTGACTGCTTTGTCATTCCTTTTTTTTTTTGTAAACTTGAACTGTTCAATCTTGTCTCACATTCATGCTTCAACTGCTTAAAGTTGGTTAAGTAAGAGTTAGTGCCCTGGGAGAACTCCACCCCAAGTTTCAAATTTATCCCTCCTCTTCCTTTCCTAAAGGAATCTAACTGCAATAGTCTTCTACACATGGTTACAGGGTTAAATGCAGCTCACAACTAGGTACAGCCAGTGTTGCTCAGATTCACTAGGATAAAAACCCATGTGGGTTGAAATAAGAAATTGAACCACCTGATTTTTATGACACTTGCTAATTCCAGCTTGTACTTGAAAACCCAAATAATGTATGTTAGGAGTCAATGCATGACAATTATAATTCCATGCAAAGCACCTGCAGCTACTGCCAAAGTATAATTTCATTTTTTTTTAATGTGACAGAAAACACTTCATAGAGATTAAAGATCATTAAATTGCACTTTCAAGCAATAACACATCACTAGCAGGTGAGCATTATTCAAAGTACATGCTGTTTACAACAGCTACTGTAAAATTTGCTGCAATCTTATTTCACATATGAAGTACTTTACAAAACACCTATGCCATCTCCACTGCTGTTCAATTGCTTTTAAATTTATCTAACTGAACTCCTTTTTTAGAACAAGAGCTAGCAGCATGTCCAATTGCAGTGATTTTTTTTTTAAGCAGAAATTAATTCATTGGCATGCAAACAGCACCTGTTGCAAAATGATTTTTTCATTGTTCTCATAGCACCTTCCTACAAATGACTTCAAAACATCCTAAGAATGGCATTTCCTTTTTCTAGTACATAAGGCTACTACACATAACAGCTTTTCTTTTCCTTCCAAAATGGAACACCTGATGTCACTATTTATTAACTGTTCTTAACACTCACTCAAATCTATTTAGACCTATAATATTAATTCAGAAAGACAAAATCTAGAAGATTAAACAAGACTATACAACCAAAATCATGCTTTTTAATCATTGCACACACTGATGCCTACTTACACACTTCTCCATTACTGGGAAGATGAAAAGTAAGGCTAAAGTTTCCTTATAATAAACCCATTAGTAGTTTTATTGTGGCATTAAATACATCCTGCCTTGTTGGTAATGTACAAGGATTAATAGAAAAATTTAGTTCATAAACAGAAATGCTTTATTATTAGAGAATCAAATGCAGCTTGATTGATTTTTTCTTGTTTGGTGTTTATAAGTTTGACACACATTGTCCATCTACTTACACATAACAAACACAACTTTTACCTGTAGCTGAAAATCTGAAAATAAACATTTACAATCTACTTCATCTGTAAAATTCAAATCAGATCAGCAGTTCATAATTTGCAGGTGGGCAAAGAGCAAGTTTAAAGTAGGTTTGTATCAATCTAGGCAATGAAACTACACGAGTTGAATATTCACCAGTATTTGCTTTATGCTTAAAGGGATGTCCTCACAAAGGTTATGTATCTGCTGCACAAATGTTCTGATGCAAGGAAATAAGGAAGCAATAAGAGGCACATTTATATCCCTGTGAATTTGGAGAGGGTATCCCCTTATAGGTTCAATATAAAAAAAAAAATAAATCCTACAACAGTAATAGCTATTCTATTAAGAAAGTAATTCATATATAGCCCAAGTCCTGGAGAGTCTGGGTTATAAAGAATACCAAAATCATACACTCATACTAACTAGAAACTCTTCCCTGTTCTAGATGAAAAGGCTTGGCATACACCATAAAACCAAAACAAATATTTCCCTTCTAACTGCAAAACCCACTGTAAAATGTAATAAAACGTTTCTTTGTACATAACAATTACCTTGGTGAAAAACACAAATGGTGTACAATGCAAATTTTGCTTTTCTCATAAAAAAACATTTAACACAAGGGAGGAAATGAGATTCTCAGACAATGGTAAGAGAATAAAAATAAATTCATTTTCTAACAGTATTTTATTGTAGGATTTATATATATTTTACATAAACTAAAACTCTTTTTAATATAATTCTAAAATTATATTAAAACTAAAACTTTTACACCACATAGTATGAGTTCAGAGTTCAATCCAAATTCCACAAAAGCAAAAAAGAGTCATTCCACTCTAAGAGTCTGAGAAATATGGATCATCCTTCATCGAACATATACCACAGTAGGAAAACTACTAAACACAACCATGGAGCTCAAAACAGACAACTTTCCAACAGGAAAAATAGAGACAGCTTGTTTGAACAATTCTGAAAAGCAACATTCTCAAAAATACAATCATATTCCTTCCCATGTCAGAAAGGCTGCACACTTAAAAGAACTTTTGGAGTAAGGCTTTATACTGTTCATATTTATCCAGCCTCATTATTCCTTTACTGAAAACACATGTACCATATTTTGAATACTTCAACTATTTGCATTGGATATAGTTGTTCAAATAAAGACAGAAGATTATTCTGAATTTAAGAAAATAAGGTCTTTTCTAATATAGGAAATGCATCAGTGAGCAATTTCATTTCACTCACATACAAAGAGACAATATTGAATTCTACCACAGCTCTCACTTTCAAAACAACGTACGTAGCAATGAGGTCTCTATGGTAATTATTATCTTACTGCCTCTTTTTTTTTTTGTACTAACAATATCATTTCTTTGTTGTAAGGGGATTCACACTAACAAAAGGAAAAAAAAACAACAAAGAAAATCTACCAAGAAAAATGTGAACTTGCCTAAAACAAAGTTCTAACAAATGTAGAGAAATGTAAGCATTTGTTCTCTGGACAGAAATCTTGTTCTTCATTGTCCTTTTGACTGCACTAAATCTAATTTTTAAAACCTTACAACAGTAATTGTTAGGAAAAGCACCCACCTAATTGTGGTTTGAAGAACTATGAGGGTGACAAGACACTGAAACAGGTTGCCCAGGGAAGTTGTGGATGTTCTCTCACTGGGTGTGTTCCAGACCTGGCTGGACAGGGGCTCTGAGCAACCTGGTCTAGTAGGAGGTGTTCCACACCCATTAGGTGTCCCTCTGCCACCCATGGCAGGGGTGTTAATACTAAATTATCTTTAAGGTCCCTTCCAATCCAAACCCATCCTATGATTTTATGATTAAAACAGGATTCTGTAACATGCACCTGCTTCAACTGCCTGATTTTTGTCACGTTCTCAGAACTCATCTTTTAATTCAGTTGCAGAAGAAAACTGTCAGGCACATCCCACTTGCTTTATAGTTTAAAAGCAACAGTTCTGCACAGCAAAAGCAGACTCCAGTGACTCACTTGTGTTTATCTTTAGGGCTTATTCAGTACTGCCATTTCAAAGCATTAAAGAATCACCTATCTATCATAACACCACCTAGTACTTTCTAAAGTAACCAGAAACCCCCCACTTTCAAACTTAAACCATCTGAGAGTTAACTTATTCTCAGTGGAGACTGAAATAAAGGCAAATCTGATTTATGTAAAATCATGTATGGAAAGACAGTTTTCTCCAATTTAGAGAAATGTTTTCTTAGGGCAAACAAGTAAGGAAGAATATTTTTTTCTTAACACCTTTGTTTTTCAGTTGCTGTGATACACAACCATGCATAAAGATAAAGGTTTTTTTTCCAGCAAGGAATTTAACTGTGGGTCAGCTTCTCTAACACAACATTTTAGAAAGTAAAATCAGATCCTCCAACAGAAAAACACAAAACACACAAAGTAACTTCTTAGCAAAGGGGGGACATCACAAAACAAGGGTTATTCTAAAGCAGTGCAGGGCTAAGGCAGGAAAAGGAAGAAAAATTATTTTATTCCTTGTGTACTTCGAGTGTGGGGATGGTTTAGGAATGGATTTTTTTTTAAATGTTTTTCCTCTGCAGCTATCACATTCTGAAATGATTAGAACATAAAATCCCCATAAGGAAGGCCATGGTCAGCCTCAGACAATTTTGTTGTGAATGTTACACCAGCCAAACCATTCCACCAGTTTACAGTGTACCATAAAATATTTACACAAGCTATGAACTATAAAATATTTTCACATGAACTATAAAATATTTACACTATCAACATCAGTTAGAAAAGAATGATGTGCTGTCAAGCTGGTGTGACCCAGGAGTAAAGATTTTGTGGTCGCAGATTAAATAAAACTATTGCAAATCATCTGGAAAGTTACAGGGAATATTAGGTTAAACAAATTACTGCTTCCTGGTCTCTTGGATGGTAAATGTAACCAGGAAAGCATAGCTTATGTGCTTTAAGCTAAGTTTTACCAACAACATAAAGAAAGGTTAGGCTCATAATCAAACTGTACTGACCTCTCTGAATGTTCCCTCCAGCAAGGTGTCCAGATGTTGAAGAGGAGCAGGAGTTTTGTCTTTGAATCGTGTCAGCAACCGCCGCTCGATGGCTCGGAACTGCACAGCCCTTTCAGACAACAGCTCCTGGAACTTCTCAGCATTCAAACGGAGCTGCAATATCAAGGTTTTCAAGAATTTAGGTTATAGGTCATATACATTCTGTATGCACATTCCAAAAGAAATGGGAGAACGGTAGTAAAATTTTTGGGAGAGTGAGTACTAGTCAAATTTGATAACGTCATTGATACCAGTTTTCATTTTACACTCCTTGTGAAGCTTATCCATATTTTCAAGAATTATTTGCCACTGAAATCAAAACTAATTTAACAACCACAGGGACCTGTGAAATGCATAAATATCTCATCAATAAGAGTAATAACACAAGGGAAATTTCACCACCAGGATCCCAAGGCTGCTTCTTAGTTTGGGGTGCTATTCATGACACACACAGACAGCGTATTGGACTTGATATTCATTGCAGTGAAAGGAAATGGTTATACTCTTAAGAAAGATTACAAGTATTGAATTCTGCACTGTTTGAACATTTGTCTTTGTCTGAAGTGAAATCCTTTTTTCCTTTTATGCATACTGATCAGCTATAACAACAAACCCTCTTGAATGGTTTGCAAAACTTTGCACAACATCGTAAATCAAACGTCCCTATAATAAGAATTCATATTTTATCTTTTAATCACCTTCCCATTTTCCAGTGCATGCCTCTAACAAAAAACACCAAGTCAAAAAGTGAGTCTTTCAAAAAACTGGGACCTCTGCACAACTGACACTGCAACTAGTAGAAGTTATCAGAAGAAACATTAAGACACAGCTTTCCAGATGCAAGCCTCATGACATGCATCCATTTTAAAGTGCTCCCAAATGAACAAAGGGGTTTTATTCCTAAATTTAGAAAACAGATTCTATTTAAAAATAAGCAAACGTAGCATTCTCTCTGTACATGATTATGAAAGCGAGTTCAGGGAAGCCAACATAAAAAGAAACACTAGGCACCTTTTCTAGAAGTAGTAAAAAAGGTAAAAAAGGGACATCTCAATATTCTCAAAGGCTTGTCAAGAAAGTGTTTTGAAACTAACAGGGGTGGGAGCATTAGGATCCCCTCGCTAGATCATTTGATAATTTTTAAACCAGATAATTATTGTAAAATTTCAGAAACTTCAAAATAGCCACCTGCAACATAATTAAGTCTTAAATTAGCATTCCAGCATTCACCCCTATATTTCAAACTTCAATGTATTTATGCTTGTGGTACAATCCAATGAAGCCTATGTTTAAGGTATTTTTACAATACCAGTCACTAAAAAAAAAACAAATAAACCAATCAACCTCTTTGAATATCAAATTAGTACAAAGACTAACAGAATAAACACTCATGAGCTTGACAGACCTGGATCTAGACTGAATTCTTAAAAAAATCCCAGAGAATCCCAACTACAATATCCATTTTTTCACGTGGTGACGGCTCCATCTCTCAGAAAATTTGCCAGCATAAAATATCCAAGAGTATTTCTCACTTCTACATACATTATTGGTTTTGCCCATTACATGTTTTAATGGGCATTTCCAAATAGCTGTTCTTTTTTTAATTGGATATGGGGGGGTGGGTGCAGGGGTATGTGTGCATGTAAATTATTTTTAGCTATTTCTACAAGCTAGCTGAACTATTGGTCATGCAGATGACAACGAAAAATCCCCAAAGAGGAAAAAGTAATTACATTTATTTTATACCTGGTCTGATGAACTTCCTTGAGCCTCCAATGCTACTTCTAAAAGGGCAGCCTGGTTCTTTGAAATCTTAAAGGACTTTTTATATCATTACCAGGATGATTCAGAAAAAAAAAAAAAGGTCATGGCTTCATTATTACAGATGAGAAAAGCAGGCTAAAACTAAGGACATATTTTAGAAGCAATTTCATAATTAACATGACATTAATGAATGGAGAACTCATGGCTTCTGTACAGGCAACAAGCAGAAGCACCATGACTTGTATTGGTTGCAGACTTCACAGTAGCATTATGACATTTTTTCCAGCACTGTCTTATATGCAATTTTCTATTTCCTGTGAAAGCCAAATGCCTGTGACAGCTATAGTTACAATCAAACTAATCACAGTTGCAGTTTTTAAACTAGCAAATCATGAACAATTCACACATTATGTAACATACCTCAAAATGTCGATCTATTAGTTCGAAGTATTCATGCAGGGGAATTGAACCAGAAAAGGTACAGGCAAAATCTTTGCAGTTTTGCTTCTTGAAGTGTTCTTCGAGCCGAAGTGTGAGCTCTTTTGTTACCAGCCAAAGGTCTTCTAGCTGATCACTCTGGATCCTATATCGTTCTTTGAACACAAGAATGAATACAGGACTAATAAATACACATTTTAGCCACATGCATTCACTATACAACATACTTTAGATAACAGAGAAATTTAACTTGCTAACTGTATCCAAAACCTATATAAGATTTTTGTGTGAGATACACATTTAGTAGTGTTAAAGAAATACTTAAATTTTAGTGCTGTCAGTCCTAAATATTCTCTCATTTATCCTGACTTTAACAGGCAATTTTGTAGCATAAAATGCACATATTGCTTCAGGACTACAGGCCTGTTTATGAAGAACAAAAAGCTATGAAGAATTACCCTAAGGAAACCAGAGAATTATTAGATGATATTGAGTTGTAACAACAGGCTGTCTGCAGTTCTCTGCCATAACACAACTTTAGTGTGCTTTTCTGAGGGTTGGAATAAGAATCAGGCTGAATTCACTTTGGACCATGCACAGCATCCTAAGCATCTGGTAAGAGTGGTGATGAGCCAACCTAAATCTTAAATGTCTTTTGGAAATGGTTATTGAGTTCTTGGATAATACACTCAATATAATTTATTACATCTCCACTTCCTAGGTTATCTTCTAGCAAGGAAAGTATTACTCTAGTTGGTCATAGACAGCAATATTCACTTTTGATAGTGCTGTGCTTTACACTAGATACAGCTAATATTACTAGAAGGTGACTTCTATCCATCTACACATCATGGCTTTGTAAAACTGGCTTCGTGTAGAAATCAGTGTTAATATAAACTGAAGTGAAAAAATAAATACTGTTAGCCCTTATTATCTACACCGGCAAATTCATTAAACTTATCACATTTTAGTGAATTTCTAATGATCCAACTAATAGGATGAGATTTTATTTCTGCTGTTTCTAGTCCCCAAGTTTATAATCCTCTCCTCTTCAGCTTCCAAGAAACCATAATGAACTTCATGTTGAGAGGAAAACATTGTGGAAAATCGTAGCACCATTTTAATTTTTTTAAAAAAAAAATTCAGATAAACACCTTCAAACAACAGTTCCTTGTTTCTTTTCATTAGTCATCTACCAATGCCTCAACCAAAAGGGTAGATAAAAATGCACCTCTGAGGAAAAAAGCATTGCTGGAGTTTGACACAAAATAGTTCTTTTTTTCCCCCTTGTTAACAAGGTTCCCAGTAAATCAAATTCACCAGAATTCTTCAGAACTTGAATGTAGTTATTTAAAATTTTCTCAACATTAGTAATTCAAGATTGTTTGACATAACCACTGGCATCATTCCCAGGTTACGTATTTCACGGAATAGAGAATGACAAATCCTGTTTACAGAGTAACAGGAAAGAAGCAAGTTTTATTTAAAAACATGCCTGTTAAAGAAAAGAACCCCATCTGCTAAAGATAACATTCAACCTAATATCCATTTTTTAAACACTCACAATGTAATGGCTGGACTTAGCTGGATGTATCATCGTGCTTTGCCTTAAGTGATTTTTCCTTGAGGGAAATTAGCTCAGATGTTTTCAGGCCAAATCAACAGTCATTCCATTTATAATTGACATATCTAATACATTAATGGTTTTAAATGGATAAAACTAATTTCCTCCAAAATGCCTATTTAGTTTCCATACATTGTTTGTTGGTCAATACAAACACAATCTAATTTTACCACGGCCAGAGTAGAGAGCACTGCATTCTTTTGCTTTACATGATCTCCCAGCTCTCAAAAAAACCAAATTAGATTTAGAAGCTCTATGAAACTAATAATCTTTAGTTTTTCTACACACATAATTTAAACAGAAATACAATGACAACCGTTAAGAAATAATTGTGCCTCTGCTCATCCTGTGCTTTAATAACCACTCCTGTTAGGTTTTTTTGGTTAAAATAAGCTTTATTACAGAAAACAATCTATTTTCAGAAAATTCTCAAACAGAAAAGCAGGAAACTGAGGAGCACCAATAGGTTACAAAAGCTTTTAACACAACAACAGGTTATTCAGCTAGCACAACCTGCATTAAGAATGGTTGTCCTGATAGTGTGTTATCTGAAGGAAGTCTAGAGGATTCAGTTTGTCTCAAAGCTAGGAAGCCTGCACCAGCAGGAAAAAAAACCCAGCTGAGTTTTCTTTACACTTTAAGTGATGGCTTTTAAAAATTCCAGGAAAAAAAAAAAGCTTAAAACCTTTATTTGCATGAGGCAAGATTCTTTTTACTATGTATTAACTGCCAAAATGAACTTCAGGCTGGGCTTCTTTGCTGCAGTCCTCTTGACAGGCTGAAGTAACATCTTCAACTACTACACAGTTTAAAGTGGATTAGCTAATGCAATTAAAACCAAATGTGAACACAGATGTCATTCCTGTTTGCAGCTTCAGCAGTGAAAGCCACTGAACCTGGAGAATTTCATGCCTACATGCAGTCCTTCCCAATCAGGTCTTAAGGTCTGTTTGATAGGGGATATGGAAAAAGATGTCCTCTTCCATTGTTGAAGATTTACTTCTTTCATGGAAAACCAGAAATAAGCACTGATCAGTCCCAATGAACCTTTTTACTTCTCTGAAACACCTTTACTTCTAGTCACTACTTATCTACACATAAATTTTTCTTTTTGAAGAACATTTCCACAATTATAATGTTGCCTAAGCACTTTTACAAAGTATAATCTTAGTCTTAAATTACATAGCAGCATAAAGATCTCCCAAACACATCATTTTATCTGTATTCATTAATTCCACAGAAGATCTTCCACTCAAGCACGATCAATTTAGTATCATAAAATTCTACCAAACAATGCTTTTGTATTATGGATAGTCTCTGTTCACAAAAATATTCTGAAATATACTTGAATTCAGACCTTTTACAATATTTTTTTAAAGTAAGCTTTACTTGGGTAACATTTCAAATAAGCAAATCCCCCATTAGAAATTCAGTAACCAGCCCAATCCTACACATTCAGGGGATGCTGGAAACAGACTGCTACCACAGAAGGTGACATCACACAACTCACTTGTTTTCTAAAGTAAGGATTCCCAGACAAGAAATGAGTAGTCACACTAAGAGAAACAGATATTCTGAATCTCCTTTGTCAAGTGAACTTCAGAAGTAAAGCAGTGTGGGAAAGTTTACAGTAAGACTGCACGCACCATTCCTAGCTAGTGAATAAACAAACCTGGGAGGAAAAGTTTAAGGGTTTGGGGTGGGGGAATTAGAAGTTACAGCCTCACTAGAAACTAAAATACATTTATCATATAGACACAAATTTGTCCCTGACATAGCATCAGACTCAGCAACTATGCAAAACAAAGTCCAAATGAAAGAATTGTAATCCAGAACAAAGTTATTTATAAATCCTTTAAATTCCTCAGTTTTTAAAATATATCATTGTGTGTCTACTTAGAACTGTTTAAGGTCTACTATTTAAACAAATATAAAATCAAACTAATGATAAACGAGCAGGCAAATAATGCACACAGAAACCAATACTCATGGATGTGAACCTTCAAAATGTAAAGTCATTTTTGGTTCAGTGAAAGTTACTCTCCAGATGGCTTCTAACACATTTGATTACATTAGAAAAGGTATTAAATATCTCACAGCTCACAGCTGACGCCACCAATATTTATATAACTCATCATGGATACTGATTTTTTGAAATCAGTGAGGCAGGTTATTTCTGTGTCAAAAGAATTTCACATCAACAAAGTAGATTCTGATTTCTCACTCAAAGCAGTTGTCATAAAGTATTCACAGAGTGTCCCATTGGAACTCTCTGCAATGCACAATAGGTCTTCTAGCTTTTCAGCTTGCTAGTCTGATGTATTAAATGAAGACTTTGTTCGCTGCTGGCATGGAAAATTCCAAACACAACTGAACTGATTTGGTTCCACTGTTCATGCCAAAAAAGAGTTTGGTAAGTTGAATACTTGTACAAGACAAGACCACAAAGTTTGCAAAACTGGACTTTCTAAAAGAACTAATATTTTTTTAGAGTCCAGACCCACAGGTGATTGGAACATGATGGCTTAATCCACAAAGTGCCCTGCACAAGAGACACTGGACCAGGTAACAGACTATCTACCTGCATGCTCACACATTCTGCAAACATATTAAGAAGTACATTGGATCCATAATCCTATACTTAAAGATAGGCATTTAAAGACAGAGACAAGCATTTACTTATATGTAGAGAAGCAAGTAAGTACACTCTGATGCTTAATTAAAGGATTAATGAAAATCAGTGGAGAGATAGAAACCTGCTTTTAAAATCCTTTCCAAAACTCCACTAGAAGACTAATTCCAAACAAGTGTTGAAATACTTTTGAGGAAAAGATATTTTTTTCCATTATGATAATGACTGTATTAATTAATTAATAAAAACACTGCTAAAAACTTGAAGAAAATCCAATTTCTTTAGGGAATTGTCATTGTACTGTACTATAATTTGAATACATTTAGTTGTGTCAGAAAATTTTGGGTCATCCCTCATAACAATCAGATACTTGAGAGGTGATCAGAAATGGTCAGTTAACACTGAAATTCTTGTGTTAGTTCTCACAGTGATTATCCTTCTGTGTATGATGCACATTCTCATTTTGTACACATTAACTGAAGATCTGGCCTCTTTGACATTCATACTGACAGCACTTACGTGATGTTTTTGAAGCAAGAAGAGTGGCTTTTGAACCAGTTAAAAACTGAAATCCCAGAGCATTTGCCTGGTCATCCTCAGATGGATCAACAAAGTCTGCAAGAAAGTTAAATACAGCAATAATTTGACACTGGTATTCAACTTATGTCAAAGCCATAGCCAGGACTATGTCAACCTCTGCAGGAGCAATTTAGGAAAGACAATCCAAATGAGACTGCTCCCCTTCTTAGGTCTCAAAGTCAAGAACATCTGTAGTAGCCCCATACACCTTCCCTTCAATCACAGGTGGAAGCTGAGCCACACAATGTTTTCATTGCCCAGCCTGGAAACAACAGGTAGATTTCTGAGAGGCTCAGCCTGTATCATCTAAAGAGAACCATGATCAGTGTACAGCCCAAAGACCATTTACCAGATGCAAAGTCACCTTTCATTCAGATACTTATGCAAAATCTATCATGAAAGTGTTTTAGCACGCTGTCTTTTCAGCTTTCAGCACAGAGCACAACAAATACCTACCTTGCTACAACCAACTACCCTGCAAATTCTGTGCATGCTCCATTTTTTTTTTTCATTCCATGTAGGGGATTATACTGGGTTAAAAGCCTCAATGTTAGAGTACCATATTTTTAAAATTACTCCATGTCACCTCTCCTCCCAACCTTCCCTTAAAAATAAGGCAAGTCAGGGAGTAGAAGATAAAATTTTTGAGTACACCAAGAATCTAAAGTTCCTTTATAGATGACATCAAAAACAGCATTGTTTTTTTTCTAAAATGGGATAAACAGAAATTAGCAGATTTTAACACCTTCTCTGGAGTACATTAGGCCTATGCTTTGTGTTCTATTGCCAACAACGCATCCCTAGGTTAAAAATAAATTATAGTGCTCTATTTTGAAAAGATTATTGCTTAGCCATAAAAGAAGCCTATGATTAAAACTCAAAAATGTAGATTTCTGAAAAAGTTTCTCTGTTTCAAGTATTACAGAGGACACCCATTTGAGAGAAAAGTTTATATACCATCGAAACTTTAGCAAATCATGCTACCAAAAACTCCAACCATGCCTATTTCACTTCTCCCAGACAAATGTACTATTGATGTTTTTCAAAGAGAGACACAGGTCCACCTTAAAAATATCATATTAAAGTTGCTGGCCCACACAGCTCTCAGAAAACTGTTCCAGAACCTCAGTCCTCTGAAGTTCAGAAACTTAATCACTGCCAGACTGGACTTATTCACAATCATTTTATAAGCCCTGTTTATTCATTTCTTCTTGTGCTAATATGAAGATCTAGATCCATGATACAATCATAAACTATGTACTAAAAGCAACTATGTTCTCTTTTTTTGCCTGTGTGTTACTAAGCTAAATGAGTCGCTTCCTTTTAATTCTACTCTTCAAATCCCTAGATAATGTTAATAATCTTTTTCTACACTTTTCAGTTTGAATTACTGTATTTAATATCAGCAGCCAGCACTCAAGTGTGCCAGCGCACAGTAACATGATACTAGTTTCCTGCATGGAAACATTTTGTCTAATGCATCCTCAGCTCTTATTTGTTTGCTTATGATTGTATCAGATTGTACCACAGAGTATTCCTGTGGCAACTTCCATCTCCTCTATCTCTGCCATATTATGAGCACATAATTACAGCAGAAATTATTTTCATAACATTACAGAGCACTCAATTTCATTCTTCTTTTTCCAGTCCTAAATTGCACCTCATTTCTCCTTCATACTATTTTAAAATTCTCAATATAAAATGTATCTCAGGTTTGCACATCAGACAGTATCACTAAATATAGTAATACATTAAATAAGTCTTCTTTTTGGTCGAAAAAGGCTAATCAAACTATTAAATAAGATCAGCTCCAGACTGCTACATCAAGAATGCCAGGTATTCTTCCAGAGCAACTGTACCCCTTACATGCAACACTTGCCACTTTTGCTTTGCCCCACTTACCCTTTTTTTAAATGAATGCTCATGTTTTCCCCATTAGAACACCACCAATACAATATCAAATGGTTTTCTGGACAAAAAAATTAGATCTATATCATGCCCACTGTGTACAGAAATCTGCAGTTTTACCAGATAGATCTACTAGCCCAGGTGGATTAGTTTTTAATTTTATGCTATCATTTATTTCAGAAAACACTTTCTAAACATTCTAACATTAGCTTTGTTAACTGCATTATTACTTCACACACACAAGCAATTCCCGTTGGAGTTCCTAACACATTTCCTATTGTAGACTTATTTAAAAACCTACCTGGAAAAATGCTGAGAAAACTGATGGGAGGTTTATTGGTATCAATAGTTAGCTTGTGGTTTGCTGCTTTGGAAGGCTGAGCTGGAAAGCAAATCAAGCGCAGCGGCAGCCTGAAGGTACATTGGGCAACCTTTGGTATTCCTAAAATGAAAGAACACAGGTCATCCCCCATATCCAGATTTTGAATACAAAGTACCTCACATTGCTGTCCTCAAAGAGGTGTAACACTATTTTCACTGTGATTAAGGAATACATTAAAACAAGAATCATGTACAAGTCTCAATTTGTTACTCTTTCCACCAAAAATACCTTTAAATTTGAATAAATTTAATTATCTTTTCATGTGGACATATTCAACTGAATGGGAAAGCAAGAGGTATTTTCCCAATCCACTGCATCTCTGTACTCTATACCAATTAATATGCAATCAGCATTAACATCTTATTTAATGCTCTAGACAAACAACTGTACTTTAACTTGTACCACAGCTGTGATTGCTCCTGATCCTTGCAACAAACCTGAAGTGTGTACCTTTTCATCAGGAATATCACAAGTGAAATTCTAAGAACACATTCATTCTTTTTTCATATTGTCAAATAATATCTATGCAACCTTCATATCATCTGTCAGACATCTGTGGCTTAGAAAAAAAAAATGCAATAAAGATTACCCAAAGGTATATTAAATTCTATCTTTCAACTCAGTGCATCATAACAAAATAGAAATGTAGAACACACTGGCTAATGCCTTTGGTATTGGGACTTCATATCACATTCAATTTTATCAGAATGGTGCTAGAGAAAAGGTGGGTTTAACACTAACATTTAGAAAACACGTTCTTTGGAATGTGTCAAAAATTTACTCAAAAGGAAATACTGTTTACAATCATTGGCAGAATAATTGCTCAGAATGTTCTACTTTAAAGGTAAATGTGCTAGTTGCTATGAATATGGAATTCTTGCTCTTTTGGGGAAGCCAGATTATGCTTTTCTTTCAGGAAGATTTTTTGGATGAAGCAGCTAACAGGGAAACCTTGCTTTGCTTGGGTACAGATATCACTATAGGTACCAATAATCATCTTATTGAAATTAGTATTAAACTTATAGCAACAATTACTCATTCTCTCCAAAGTACCCCAATACAACTCAAACATTAACCCATACAGTCACCTCAGCAGAATTTAACAAAGTACATCCTTATAGAATAAAGTTGCTGTCATGGATTACATGGAGACAAAAAAGTCATGGAAGTGACAGCTACACAGAGGTTATCAATCTTGTAAGCTTAGCAGGTTACTGTAAAAATAAAGCTCAACCATTTAACTGTTAGCAAAAAGGATTGTTTGGATGACTGTTATTTGATTGATGCTTCATGGTCATCTTGCAGTGAAAAAAATATTACTAAGACTCCTCTCAGGGAGAAAATGTCACTAGAAGGCTCAGCTTTATCCCTCTGATTGTCAATTCATTAGCTCTTTTGGCTGACTGATAATGCCTCCACATAACTATTCTGCTGTAGCTTGAAAAAAAAAAAAAATCACTGAAAAACAATCAGAAAACATAAGACAGGTCCTCAAAACTAGGGTATCCTTGGGTTCCAAGGAAAGTTCCTGAAAAAAAAAAAACTTGACAATAAATCCACGACCTTTCAGAATGATTCACCCAACTGGGTCCTTATCATTTGTGGGAAAATTAAAACATTTTCTTGATGAGAATATAACACAAACATCTTACTGTTGAACTTAAATATGGAGACTTATCAACAGGAAAAAAAAAAAGGTGACAAAGTTAGCCAAAAAGATTTTGAAATGTTTCTTATATTTAAAAAAAAGATGTTTTTTCTTCTTTCAAACTAGCTTCTCCTAGATAGTCTGCTCAGTCTTCCTCATCATAAACAATTTTTCAGTATTTCAGAAAAATGTGAATCCATAACTAAATCAAAAAGTATCTGGCTTTGGGAGGGACCTGGGGAGATTTATGGTTGAGAATTCCAAAGTAACTATGTAGAAGAAAATCTAACCAAAGAGCTCTAACAAAATTTATCACTGCAGTGTAAAACTCTTGCTGGGAAGTGCTTTCAGAATATTTCCTAATTTTAAATGGTTGTAAAGAAACACAAAACAGTAGCAAAGCATGGGAGCCAGAACTCCCTCAATCCTTTGGTGTTGTCTTGTATTACATCCCACTTGATCTAGAGTTGTGATACATTGCATGATATACAATTTTAACACTGTAATAAAAAAAAAAAAAAAAGAGGGGAGAAAAAAAGATTCTCTTCTAATATGAAACAAATTTTATAACATTATCTCATAAATTGCTGCAACTTAAAGGCATATCATGCACTTACCTGACAAAAGTAATAAAAGTTACCTGTATTGTCATTATAATTTCACTTGTAAATTACTCATGCATTCATCTTAATTATACTTGAAACATAACATTGACATACATGATAAAAAGCATTAAAGCTCAGATCTTTAATTTAGAATGTTAAATACTCAGAGAATTTAATCTCTGATATCGATAACCCTGATTTTAACTAGTCCAGTGCACCCCACAGTAACCCAAATAAATCTTTTCCCAGATAATGCTACCAAGTTTACTGTGCTCCACAATATTCTCTTCAGCATCACCTTTTCTTCTTGAGTAGAAATTTCTCAAAACCCAAATCTTCATTTTTAGAATGTTACCCTTTCAAATTATATTTATTTTTGTATAGTTTATTTACACATTTATCCTGTTTTTTAATAACGTTTAAATTACTTTGTATAGCAGAGATCTGCCATATGGTGATAGCTATTGTTGCCAAGAGCATTTTATTGAGATGGTTCAAGCATTCATTTCCTGTATGGTACCTCAAGGACCCCTGAAATATCCAGAAACCAGAAAAAGAAGGGAACCATTAACACAGTTATCTACTTTTTTATTTTACTTAGTATGCTCAGAAGAATTGGAAAACGAGACTCAAACACAATCTATATGTAGAACTTCTGCTAGGGAAACAAGCAAAACTGAAAACACATTTTCATTTGATCTCTAAAACTATGACAAGCAACTTTTTCCCTTCCCCAGTACATGAGGGGTTTGTACTTAATATAAGTTTTTAAAGTAAGTAAACTATCTCCCGTAAGGACTGTATCTTTTCAAGACATGTACACAACTACACTGTAAAACTACCCTTCTCTCTTTTGTCTACCTACACATAAGCTAACTTTCCAGTCCTGTTTTGTCTTTTAATTACACCTTACAAGTATCCTATCTACCACAATCACAGCTGAGTTTTGTATTCCTGGTATTCTCAGTTAGAAAACAGACTTTCAGCCTTGAATAAGATGGTTCCAACAGGAATTGGAATGAAGACATGTTAAGTGACATCATTCTCAGAGCTGCTCAGGCCAAACAGCAAAGCATTAGCTACAAATCCTTAACAGTTGTTTCTGTTCCACCAGAAACCAAAATCTATAATTTAGCTGCCTAAGCTCCTGTTAAAACTTAAAAAAAAATAGCTAAAAATATGATTAGGAATGAAAATACAGTTAGGTTTCCCATTGTCAATGTCAGTGCACAAGACAGTCAATACTTCACAAAATTCCTGTGTTATATATGAGAAAGTGCAATAAATTTCACCAAGAAATGCCTTTGCTACTTTCTATTTTCCCAATTGGTACTTGTCATCTTATGGCTAAGCCTCATTTACTTTCTATTTTCTCAAATATTCACAGCTCCATAGGATCAAACCAAGGTTAACAAGAACTTACAGAAGTAACAGGTAAAATAGCATACACTGCCACTCATCAAACCATCCAAACTTGGCATTTTTTCAATTCACTCACCTTCAGGATTGAGCTCTGCCATAAAACCAGCAATGGGAAAAATGGAAAAAAAAAAAAAAAAAGAATACATAAGATGTTACTCAAGAAAAAAAGGAAAAGTAGTAACAGGTTTTAAAGAACTCAAGCCACATTTGTTAAGTAGACAATGCATAAAGACATCACACCAGCCAAAAACCAGATGTGAGCCCACATTCATCAATAGTGCAATCCCATCCAACTGAGTGACTCAACTTTCAGCTGTATAAATCCCAGAAGGATACACTGTAGACCAATTTGGGCACAAACATGGATATCTTAGAAAACAAGAGGAAAATGTCTCTATTTGGACAAAATGAAGTCACAAAGGCACTTAAAATTTGTTTACTAGTATATTAAACTTCAGGATTTGATTGCCTTGTACAGGTAACACTAGTATTTGGATGTAATTGAATAAAATTATCCCAGCTTAATAACTGAAATGAGTATCCAAAAATTTAGCAAGTTTTTAATTATGTTTCTTTAAGAGTCTTCCAAATTCTACCATTACAGGTAGATTTTTAAGATTACTTCTACAGTTCCCCAATTCTGTTAGATGGCACATCTTTTGTGAATTTTTTTTTAATTGCATATAAACAATAAAAAAAATTAAGATAAAAGATTTCTTTACTTCCCTAACCAAAAGGCTTGCAAATTCCAAGTTAATATCTAAACTGTAAGCATAAGTTTAACTAGTATTACCTGAAAGAAATAACACTTTCATTTCCTGGTGACAAATACACTTTCAAAGCAAAAATTACAAAAGCAACACCAGCAAAGCAAGCTTTCAAAAATCAGACCTCCAAGATAACATTTCAATAAGCACACAGCCTAGACTGCTGCATTTAACTTCACATGGAAGCCCTGCCTAGATGCAGTCTCACAGTAGCCTGACATTCACAAGGCTGTGTAGATAACCAAGCTAATCTGTCTTCAGCTATGGATAGCAGGGTAAATTTACATATTTTATCACTAGGATCAGTAGGGCATTGTAAAACAGAATGACAGTTTCTATTCCTTTGGGTTGGTTTGTTTATAATTAATATGTTCATCTGCTAAAAGGGAAGTGAGGAATAATCCCTCCCAATGCTTATTCAGATCTCCTTCTCTGTGGGGAGGCAATTATTGTCACATTTGTTGGCAGCCCAGAAAACCAAACAGTCATAAAGATGTAATTAACTTCCCACTCCAAGAGGTGGTCCCTTAAAGAGCAGAACAGAAGCAAATTGATAGGACAGGATAGGAAAACTTGTACAGCTGCTTCCCAAGCCAGAAGCATATGATTTTACCTTTATAAGACCAATTATGTAGCTTAATGATGCCACATAAAATATTAACTAAAACTGCAGTCTAGACTTTGATACACATTATGTCTTTAATTACTACTGCCTTCAATATATTCCAAAAGAACATACATAAGAAATAAAGAGGAAGATCTCAAAAAAGACAATAGGTTTGAAATCTCCAGTGGTTTACCTGTGGGTATGTTATATGAAACTAGACATTCTCCTTCCAGTTCTGATGGAGAACAATTCCCCTTCAAAAAGACAGAGAGGACCACAGTTTCAGATGAACCTGGTTCTAAAAACAACACAAAATTCAATCAAGTAATTTGAGCACCAAAATGAAAGCAACATATTTTCTAGCACTTTAAGAAACACTCTAAATTACAATAGCTGTTACTATTCAGTTCACCTCTACCAAATTACTGGACAGGCTTCTTTTTAAATTGGTAATTTGTGAAAGTCAAGCTAGTCTCTCCAACTTACAACTATCTTGAAGCATAACCAATAAAACAATTCAGCACACTGAACACAGAGAATATGAAAACAGGACACTTCTCTGCTCTTCAGCTCTGCTTACTCTTCAAGCCAATCCCACCTGCAGCCTTAGAGTTGGAAAGGCTGGAATCACCAAGCAGTTGATGCTAAGTTGGGAACATGTTTGGCTGTCCATAGGTCAACAAGCTTCCTGGCCCTGCTTTCAGCTCAGCAGTGCCATTTCTACATAGACAGAACTGCCAGCAAAACAAAATGCTCCAGCAAAAGTACCACAGAATAATTAATTTTTTATTTTTCAATCCATCATGGAGCTGTCATCCTCACCTGCCATGCACTGGACCATAATCAAGGAAGGAATTCCATTCCTTTCTACTTGTCTTTTTCCACCGAGCAGGATCTAGAAGCTGCAGAGTGCAGTCAAGGCAAATTTATAATTGCTTTAAGTGCAGTGTATCTGCAACAATGCACTCAATGGAGGCTGGACTACACCTTTCACACATCCTCAGAGAAAATAATTTGATACAATAGCTTTAATGATACTATAATAATTTACCTAAATCATCAAAGGTGAACTGGTCACAGGTCACTGCTAAGGGAGCTTGTACACACACCACCAGGCTTGGTTTCTGTGCAGCCACTTTGCTCTGTATCCTTATCTAAAACGAGTCACATACAGAAGTATTTAAAGGAAGCCACAAATTAATCTCTGTATAGCAGAAAATGAACCTAACAAGCAAAAAAATATGAAAAGCCTGCAAAGAGCAATTCAGCAAGAATGTGAACTTTAAATTTCAACTTTAAAAATCAGCATTTTCTTTAATTTGTAATTACTTACAGCCAATAATGGAACACACAATTCAGCAAGAATGTGAACTTTAAATTTCAACTTTAAAATCAGCATTTTCTTTAATTTGTAATTACTTACAGCTAATAATGGAACACAACTTGAAAAGCATCAAAAAGGTTCTTCGTAATTTTAGCCCAAAATAGTGCTAAAGCATTAATTACAACGTTACTATTTTGCAAGATAGGTGTGCATTTGTTCTAAATAAAAATAAAATGTTGCCTTTTCTAGGTGACTAATGTGGGAAAAAAACAAAACACAAAACTGTAACAAAAACAGTGAAATCAAAGCTAACTGAAGAAGTTACTCCCCTCAACTGCAAAAAGCAAATCATACCTGAGTACCTTCAGAGCCAAGTTCTATCTTGGGCTTTCTTACTGCAAACACTCTAAAAGGCATTATACAGGATACCCAGCACAACTGCAACTCTAGATTATGAGAGCTGACCTAGCCATAAACTCACAGACCATATCTGCTACTGTTACCATCTGTTTTGTATTGCTGCTCAACCCAAGAGCTCACTACAGCCAGGTTAAAATCAGTTTAGGAAAATATTATTAGTTATAAAATTACTCAAGTGTTAGGAAGTTTGATGCCTTTAGAAGAATTAACATCAACATTTACCTTGATATAACAATATATTTGGGCTGCAAATAGACCCTCAAATCATCCATCACTATGAATGCTAACAAGGAAGGATCACATCTACCTCTGTACATACATTAGGCAAATTTGCCCCATTTTCTGAAGCCAGAATCCCAATAAGATGAACAATAAAGATGGAATCAATAGCCTTACAGATGGAATCAATAGTCTTACAGATGTTACACCAATTAAATGAGCTAAAAACATACAGACATGAGACTGCACACTTCAGAATTTGTAATCAAGACAGTGACATCTAAAGCTACTGGCAAGCACTATTAAGCTGCATGTCTCCATGTTTGGCTTTCTGCTGCATGCAGGGAGTCTGAAGTAGACAACCCTTGCATCCAGAAATTTCTCTCAAAATAAGCTAATTTTATGAAAACTTTTATGACAGGCCTCTCATTGGTGCAAAATTAAATTTAAAAATTGAGGTTTTAATACATGTGTCACAGATTCTAGAGGGTTTTTCAGGGCACAATACATTGCCTGCAGATTTTTTTTGAGAACAATGACCACCATTACAGTAGCCAAATAAAATTCATTAGTAACATTACCTGCTTTGCAGAAAACATCCATGGTATGTATACGTATGCTTTGGTTGTAGTCATGTAATTCAAGTAAATATTGCATTTTAAAATTTAGCAAAGTTGTTCCAAACTTGTTCAAATTCAGTGGTCAAGTTCAAGTTTAAAAGCTTATCAAATAGATTAACATATCCATGCTCATTGTAAACAGTGTTTGCCATTGGCCTTACAGTACTAATCATGAGCAGATAAGGGAGAACAATTGGAGTTACCTGTGTTCCCAATACTGAAATCACAAGTGCTCTCCAAAAATAAAATTTGGCAGTTATAAACAATGCTTTCCTGTGTAATAACTCACATATACAATATATTGGCTCCAAAGCAAACTAAAAGCTGATCAATTCACACTTTTCTGGAGGTTATTTGAATTTGTATTACATTTTAAAGTACACTTATATTCACAAATAGCCTGTTCCAAAGTCCAATGCAGTTTACCTGAACTTCTTCGAGCAAAACTGTCACAGACTTTATCAGAACTAGGAATTTATCCTGTATCATTTTAGCATTTTGAAATGCAGAGAAGGATGTTGGATCAAGTACAACTAGCTACACTAGTGTGCAAGGGAATCTAGTTGAATAAATACTTCAGTTACCCTCTGAACTGTTCTCTTAAGTGAGGGAGTGAGAACTTGCAAGGTTATCTAAGACTCCATTGATATTCCTAGGAGATCCTCTCAAACTCAGAAATAAAAATCATGGTCTTCTGTAGGGAATGCTGGGGAGAAATTACACTTGCACACACACAAAGATGCACATACACACTTTCTTCAGGATCAGTTACAGGCAGCAACTCTCAGAGGACTACAACAAAGTCAATTTTCAAATTAGATTTTCCTAGCAATTTTTTTTCCACTACCAAAAGCTATGAAAGTCATTTTACAAAAATCTATCTTTGTTTACTGACAATGAAAAAGGCAGCTGAAGATAAATCTCACATTTTGAGTAACCAAACATTTATTCCCCTTGAAAAGCATTGGAAAAATAATTCTTATAACTTAAAAAACAACTTAATTCCATCCTAATAATGTTTTTATGTCTCCTTCTTGAAAAGCCTATCAAAAATAAAACTCCAATTGTCTTCTGACTTAAACAGGTTTCCTACAACAAGACCTTACCATAATGAGGAAAAGAATTAAATATATATTGCACTTCAAATTTTACTCATTTTCATGATCTAAGGGAAACACACAGAAAGTGTCCAGTTTGTTAAAATTTGCCACCACTATTTGAATGCTACTGTTTGGGTTAGGCACAATACCTTTACTGTGACTGATGGTACTGTCTCTGCTTTTACCTCACTGTCAATGGCTTGCTGTGAAGAAAAAGATGAAAACAGTAAATTCAATATTACACATGAAGGAGTGAACACAATGAATGCAATATTACTTTCCTACCATCAACTTCATAAACAGAGAATTAATGGTAAAGGACTCATCATTGAAATGACAGATTAAAATACACAAAATACATTTGAGTTCCCTCTGAAAAGGTAAAACCTCTGTTTGAAATGGCCTGAAAAAAGGATATTAAAAGGTCATGAATGTTGGGTATATAAGAAACTAATACACTGTAATGTATATATGAATATTTGAAATTGTTTTGTTTGGCACACTACTTTCCACTGTATATTTATTTAAATTCTGGAAATACCTTCTCTTATTCATTAGGGAAAGGTGACTTCCAGTCTGCCAATGTAGTATATACAAACCCCAGCAGACACTGTAAAAATCATCACACACTATCTCATAATCAGAAATACTACTTCAAAAGAAAATTATAGCAAGTATCTCACTACTACTGCTACTATTTCAACAGGCAATTCCATCAAATTCAAAATTTATCGTGACCTCATACTCTATTTTAGTAACTTATTTTATGGTTATATTTCATTTTGGAAACAGGTCAGTCCCTACAGTTTAAGACTATGTTTCTTTTTAAACTGCTTTATATTAAAGAAACAATTTCTGCTACAATACCAAATTAGTCAATGTAACTTACACCTTCTCATGATGAAAGAGTAAATCAAGAACAATCTGATATCCTCTACCCACTCTCCTTTTCACCCCAACGTGCCAAACCACAGCCCACACTGCAAAGTTCCTAAGTGAGGGAGCTGGTAGGCTCTCTGGGCCCTAGAGATGGGGCTTCCATGTGTATGTTGTACATCTTTTTCAGTTAAAAGAACATAGCTGCTTTCACACTGGCTTGTCCTGCCCACTGTCTCTCATGACTAGTGGTTGATCCTGAAGCAACAGCAGAGTTGCATCCAGATTGATCCTTACCATATTCAGCCTTCAGGAATCAGCTGGAATTGCTGGATCAGAAGCTATACACAGGAGGTGGTGGTAAGGAACCAGAATGGTCCTCCACCTCCTTATCTAATCCATTTAAATACATCTACATCCTCCCTGCTTTTGCCACACTCATCACAATTTCAATCCTTGAAAGTGCAGAAGCAGCATCTGCTGCCTGTAGTTCCCAAGATCACTGCAGAAGCCCTTGTATTGTTCCCACATTTGCTCCCCTGTGAAGTATCTTATCAGATTTTTCCTTTCTCCATGGCTGCTGATGGAGCCCCCAGAAAAGTCTACCACAAAGGAAACTAAGGCATATGGACAGACTCATGAAACAAAGATTCAAGGTCATGGTTCACCTGATACACTGAGTTATTTATACATGAAACAGAGCATTCAGATCTGAGGAAATGAGCACAGCAGCATTAAAGCATCCTATGGACCTAGCAGTTCTAAATGGTGTGAGCAGGTTATTGCAGCTAGCCAAGACCATCTCACACTGTCCTTTTCTCCACAGACAAGTGCTAGGACACTAGTGCACACAAAGTGGTCCCTTTATCAAAGAATAGTAGTAGAAGTAGCTGTAGCAATAACACCTTAAATAAATTATCAAATATATATAATATTAAAAAGCAGCTCCTTGTGTATTTTTAAACAGTGAGTAGCTCTGAAGATCTATTTTGCAGAAATTAGTGGCTAGAAATTACTAATTAGATGTTCTAGTGCAATGAGTATGCGTTCTGGAATGTTAAATGTGAAAAGTTCTAAGAAACAATATAAGCTCTCCTGATTCTTAATCAGTATTAGTTTTTATAAGCTATTTACATGTATAAGATGAATAAACTAATTAGGCTGCAACACCAAAGAATATTGAAAGATGCCTTGCCAGAAAAAGCTTATTTCTTACAATGCATCTTTGAGTGGTTTGTGCATTCAATCTTTAAAAGATCTACAGGCTGACACTTCTGTTTCCTCCCATTTCATTAACTGCTCACCTTTATGAATTCTCACCACCATGAAGTTATTCTAGATCCTAACTTCTCATTTGCTTAGTCAAGAATCTAAAAGTTCCAAGACAGAAGATACTAAATAATTTTAATAATTTAATATCATTTTTTAAAGTACATTTTAACTGATAAAAAATTGGGGGCTATGCAGAAGCTCAGCTTCACAAATATAAATACACAGTAATCACGACCCATGATTAACCATTATTTACTCATGTATGAAACCAACATTTTCAGAGTTATTTCTTTTTTGTACAGGTACATACAGATTCTGCATCCAAATTGGGTGAAACTTCTGCTGTCACAATTAGATCTCTGTGTTTTTCAGATTTGGGCAAAATATCTGAAAGAAGAAATAAATCAACTCTCCTTTAACAAACATGCAGCTACAATTCTAAAAATAATACTATTTTAGCAGCATCAATTTTCAGATTTACATCACTGCAACTACTACTGTAAAGCAAAAAAAAAAAAGGCCAACAGTGCATATGATTTTTGACCAAAGAAACTTTCGAATTTTCTAAGATTTCTACAGGCAACCTAAATCTGCATCTCATTCTATATTTCTGATTATGTATTGAGGATTTAGATGCACTTATGATAGAATGCATCTAAACCCTTTGCAACAAGATTTTACACCTACTATGATCTTCAGACATGGTAAAGAATTTTAAAACTTTTGTCCTTATATGCATATTAATACCTATGTAATACTAGTACACCTATAACAAACAATGATCTCCAAAATGCACACCACACATCTCCTGACATTTTTGCCTAAATAATTTGACAATGAATACATTAGACAGGCTCTGTGCCTAATAGTGTAAAATTAAGCTAGATTTTAGAAATTACTCTGTGTAAGAAAGGATATGAAAGCTTTACATAAAAGAACATAATAGAGATCTTGGTTACAATATGTTACCTGATGATTTCCAGGACTGTCAACAATACAAGGTAAAGAATGTTACAAACTCATATCCCTCATATAAAACCTTATGCAGGTACACACATGTAAAAATAAAGTTGTAAAGATTAAAAGCTAGGCACTTAAATATCATGAGGAATCACATAATCTCCTCTTATAGAGTTTAGAAATCCGGCTTTAAGGTACTAACATTTTTCTGAAAAGCACATTTATTTCTTAATACTAAATGTATTAGAAAAAGAAAAACCTGAACAGGAAATGTATAGAACCTAAAGTAACAAACAGTAAAACCTTACAGGGGAAATTAAAATATTAATTGAATAATTGAAAGCATGAGCACATTCAGAAAGGTGCAAGAATTTTATTACAGGGAGTCCTGAAAATGACCCTGAGCCAGTAGGAGCACGTCATCTCTTGCCCTCAAGAGGGTCAAAGAGAAAAGATTTTGATGAAAGCAGAAAGTAAAATTTCATTTTCTTCTGCTCAGAAAAATACACCTCTCTTTACTACAAGTAAAAAAGCAAAATCAAAAAACGTTCCTCCAGTACCACCTACCAAAGCAGCCCAGGCCTGTTTCATACTGCCACAACTGGGTCTGCCCATCACAGCTCAGCACAATCCATTCCACTCACACAGATAAGAAAATATCTTCCTCTTCTATCCTTTCTTAACCATGTCTGCTGATGTTTCTTTTTCAAGCAAACTGTGATGTACTTCCTGTCATAAAGTCATTTTTCTAGTAGACATAGGACTGAGATCACAATCAACATTTATATATAAATATCAGCTTTTGGTTACTGTTAAACTGAGCCAAAACACCTATATTTAATCACTTATGTCATCCAGAGTGATGCAGTAACATTAGATTTAAGTTGGTATAACAGTTAAGATATTTTAAAATATTTCAGCAGTTTATAATGTAAATCCTTATCCTTCAAAATGTATAAAACAGCTTAAGCTCAACAATTTAATGGCCAGCACTGGACAGAAATACAAGACATTTATGGAAATAACTACTCTTAAGGGTTGGGTTTTTTTATATGATGACCTAATTCTAAATATCTTCCATGTTTGGAAGTCAAAATGAAACAAAGAATAATTATTTCCATATAAGGCAGATATTTTCAAAACTACACGAGCTCTTACTGCACAAACTTGAATCCAAAAGAGAGAAACATCAATGGCTCGTTTTAAAGATCACACTTAGGAGTAACTTAGTGTGACCAATGTTCAGAAGTGTTTTCTGTTCAACACAATTAGCAGTTATTTTAAGCATTAGCTAAAGCTCTAACAAAAAAGCCAAAATGAAACAAAGCCAAAACACCCAAAACTGAAAAACATTCTTCATAAGTAAAATGTTTTGTTGTAAAAAAGGTTCTCACAAGTTTTACATCCAGTCAAAGCCAAACACAACATCATTAGAGCATCTCACCACAACAAAGACAGCATTCAAAAAAACTCATGTGAAAACACCACTGTAACACTTTGGATCAGATTAGAAAGATTGAGGAAGGAAAAAAAATAATTAAGAAGAGGAGAGAATGAGGAAAAGATCAACAATATTCACAGTAAACTTATCATACCATGACAGACAGAAAAGTTACAAAGGACAGCTACAGTTCTTATCTCTTTCTCTCTCTTGCTAAATCTTCCATGCAATGTTAAAACTAACAAACAGAAGTTGAATCATGACTCATTTCAAATGGATCTATTCCTTCCAGCACGCTTGTTTTTTTCCTTTGATTATCAAAACCAGAAAAAAAAATGACAAATGCTTATAAAGAAGGGCTGTGGTAGAAATTGGTGGAATTCACCCACATCTATATGCTTAAACAGCCAATTACTGGATTTGAAACATTAGAAAACTTATAGTAGTATCACAATAATCAACAAAGCTTTAGGCAATTACAAAATAGAAATCTGAGTTGTAGGGAACCTAGCTCTAGAACTGCAGAAAAATAATTCCTTGTATTTTTCATGGATTTCAGCTGTGATTTTTTTCACTCTTTTTACACAGAAAGATATGACTATTTCTTTAATGCATTTTAAGAACATATTAACAGTCATCAGGAAAAGATCTTAATTGGTTCTGTTTGTATTGGATTTTCCCCATCATTTCAGGTAAAACTGCATGCTTCCATTTCCCCCTCCAAGTCAGATACACTGTTTAAAAACTCATTTATGAAAACAAACTCTGAATGATCTCTGTAAAAATTGTCTGTGCATTTTTTATTTAAAAGCCTAAACTTTATTAAATATTACATTTCCTACAGAACTGTTATTATGGTTAAAGTATAAAAATCAACCTGAACATTTTGAAGTGCTAAAAGAAGTCAGGTGGTTAAAAGTAAGTCCAACTATAGAAAAGGGGGAGGCATACCTTGTGTTTTTGTGGCCTCCTTGATGATCTTCTGAAGCTCTTTCATTTCAGCATCAAATTCTTCATAGTTTATTTCCCTAGAATCAACCCTAGGAGCCTGGAAGATTGAAGGATCAGTTCCAAGGTAGGAACACTGAAGATGCCCATCATCACTCAGAGTGACTATCACACCTTTCAAGTCTCTGTATAATAAAAAAATAAAGCACATTAAGAATTTGGGAAGAATCACAGAAGCAGTAACATGGAATTTATACTGCTTCTACTGTTCCATCTACAAATATCACAGATCTTCCTGTCTTAATGAGATTCTTTGGCCACAAAAAACAATAATCACACCTAAGAACCAATCTGGGCTACAGAGATGACTAAAATATCACCCAAGTGTCTCAGAAGCCACCTAGTCAAGACAGGTAAAGGAAAGAACTAGTACAAACAAGCCAAGTAGACAGCACAGCACAGTTGTAACCTTTTTTTATTCATAAATTGTTACTTAAGTTTTTTGAAGTATGGATATTTAGGGTGGTATGCAGCACAAAGAATCAGCTGAACTGAACACCAAATAAGGGAAGACAAAGGAAGTATTAGAAGAAATCATGGATGGAGGGAACAGTTACACATTCACACCAATGATTTGCTCTTATTCCATACTCCACATAACCTATAGCTGGCACTGCCTTTGCATCACATGCAGCTGTCACAGATAGCATAGGTCAAATTTAATTCTTAAGTATAAAACTTTCTATAAGAAAGCCTAATGCACTATCTCACTAATTAAACCCATGTAAAACATTGTATTTATATACAGGTACAAGCTATAATTCATAAAGAATTAACAAAAATTCTTTTACCTTACAATCTTTCAAGCACCTCCTTTAGTACAATCCTCATTAAAAAATAGCTAGCAATATAAAAAAAAAAAGAATTCTCTCTTGTTTCCAATGTTGTCCTGTAGCATGGCTCCAGTATACACAGACAGGAAAGCTCATTCCAAAATTTTCCAGTGTAATAGTAATTATGAAGGCAAACAGGGGTCACAGATCAGTTTGAATAACTTACAGTCCAACTGGACAGTCCAAAATGCCTTTTTACAGAATGCTGGGCCCATAATCCCAGTGTTGGTTTCACAATTGCTGTCAAATATTCTGGAAAAAGCTATGTTGTAACTGAGATCATCTGAACTCTGCACAGTTGTTATAACTGCATACAGAAATGAAGACTCCACTGGGCACTATACAAATAAGTAGTTGCTGCAGTTCAGTTTAAACTTTCTCTTTGTACAGAAAGTAATTTTTACTCAGTGAATGAAATCCATCTCCTGGTTGAACTATGAGTGTATGGAAACTGGCTGGGTTTTTTGAGGGGGACAACTGGTATCCCCAGTTATTCCTTCACTGCAGATAGAACATGCAAATCTGAACTGCCTTCTGGAACAGAATACACCTCATTGGACTCAACACACAGTTTCCCTGTTCCACTATATAAGTTCATCTTAAACAGAAACAGTCTTCCTCTCTTTTGGGACTACTGTTCCAACTGCCACAGAAAACCACTGCAATTTTTAAAGTATATTAACGTTCACTACAAAAATGAACAACATAAGGCTGGAGATGCCAAGTCTCCCTCAACAAATACTTAAAGAAAAGAAAGTAGAAGACTTAATACTGATTTTCAGCTCACATATCCAGCACCTGTGTGTTAGCCATGCTCTGAATGAGATGGACCACTTATGACCTGTAAGCTTGGGGTTTCCATCCATTATTTCTAACAAATTGTAAACTGTCAACCCAAAGTGAGAGGAAGTAGAAGTAAGCATGAGTCCTGTTTTCCCTGGCTGCTTGAGTTGCCAACTACAGTTGGATTCCTTGCTCAGGAAAGAAACCTTGCTGGGTCTTGATGCTATGACATGCAGAACTGCTCACCCTAGTTTTCTGATGTCCAAAAAGCTCTGTGCTACATTTACAGAATTCTGGATGGCACATGGAACAAATACACTGGGCTAACCCTGAAAGCTGCAGACAAACACCACAAGATGGACCAAAACACAGTTTTGGTAAGGTAGGCAAATAACACCTACTGTACAGGACTTTGCTTACTGCCTGCCAAATGTTTGCAAAGAATTTTGCCACACTGCACAGCAAAGTCTTTAAAAAATGGCTATTGCTGAAGCAGACATCATCATGCTACCAAACACACTACCCCACCCTTTGCTATTTAGCTACAGCAAATAATAAAGTGGCTAAAAATCAAATGGGACAACAAAAGCATTGTGAGCTTTTTCCACAACTGAAGAAAGAAAATCACCACCTAAAAAAAAAAAAGACAGGTTCTAAAGTTCTCCAGCAATGGCTTTGACCAATCTTAAAATTCCTTTCTTAAGACTATGAATCTGTCAAGCTAAGAAGGAAAGATCCATGAGGACATCAGAATATATATCAAAATGGCATGAAGAAATATAACTACAGTGCTGGCAATAAATCTTATGATATACTACTGAAGTATAATACATTCAGCAGTGGTTTGTAAATAGTCCTTCCTACGTAGCTTTAAGTTGGCAGTCATCTGCAGGTAATCAGTCTATCAAACAAAATCAAATCAATGAGGTGATTTTCCTATGTAAATTATGCTTTTCTTAACTTCTGTATTTATGTCAGCATTACAGTACGTACATTCAAAAACTCCCCCTTAAAATAAACTCATTTCAACCAACCTTCCTGTTAGTCATGACATCCTTTAAGCCTGCACTAGATCAGAGACCAAAGCATTAGTTTAAGCAAGCAGCATTACAAATGACATTTTTCCTTTGCTTCAGTTACTGTTCTGCTGGGTCCTAAGAAGATCGTTCAGCGTGAAACATATACAAATATTAAAAAAGCCTTTTTTGGTAATCTTTCCTTGTTAAAAGCTGTCCATGAACTTGTACATCAATAGAAACAGTAAGAAAAATATGGGTGCCCAGTTATAACTTATTATAAATAATACATTAATTTCTCTGTTGGAATGTTTGTCAGCCACTCACAATTATTTTCTCAAGCTTTTATAACAGTCATTAAAGACAACAAGGGGAGGGGGAGCATATTTAACAGGTTTCTAGTAGTTTCCCCACAGCTACTGCACTCTTACAATATCCCTGCAAATACCATTACTTCATTTGGCACATTTTGCACACAATATGGAATTTCAATTACTTGTAAAATTTAGAATAAAAGAAATTTAATTTTTTTTAACTATATATCACACAATAGTCAAAGTAATAGCAAATCTAAGGGTAGATTTTAACAGTGAGGAACTCAAAGTATGAAACAAATTATTATGGTATCTAAAATAACTTTACAGTACAAAGCAACTCCTACACACATATGGTAATAATTTGAAAAACTATCTTTTATTGGATTCTGGGCAATAATAATGGCATATGCTTTTTGTAGGTCTTCTCTTACTAAACAAATTGCTCACAACATAGTTCTTGAAGAAATCAAAATGTTTTGCATGTTTCCAGTTACTTAATTCCAAACTGATTGACTTAGAAGTTGAATCTGTAATTCTGAGTTCTCCTCAAATGATACAAGCTAAGCCTTGGGCAATTCTCAGGACAAGGTCTGGTTATTGACACTGTTTACAGCTTTAATTATTTATATTTGTAATAGCACATAGAACTTCTGCCTCAGTTTCAGAAGCAGTCTTAATTGATATTACTCATAGCAATCATTTTAGAATACACGATCCTCTGCAATACTACTTTCAGTCCCATATTGATCATGTATTATTTATAAACTATTAAATTAGGAAACTAATATGTGAATTATGCTCAAGCAATTTGAATCTAATCCTTTCCTGATTTTATCATCCTCTGGAGTAATTATATGCAAGAACATATACAATATATGCATTATACACAACAGCACTTTTTAATGCTTTTGAAACCCAAATTGTTCAAAGTTTCACTATCATTTCAATATTATTTTAGCTGTAACTGTGATAAGTATTGGATAAAATGCTGAAGGAAGATCAGCCTAGGAGTAAACTGTTAAGAATTTCCTAACATGAACTAATGGGAATAAAAGTCAAAAGCACATTATACTCTTATTAAACACACTCTCAAATCATTTAAGGCTATTTAACACACTTTGCACGCTCTGCAAAGGGCATGCAAATATAAATATGGTGTTCAATTGTAATTGTTTAATAATATGTAACTATGTTGAATATCACTGAGTGGTAATTTGAGCTGTTGCTTTAGAGAAAAGCATTGTTCATCCTCCCTGTTTGTGTGACAGCTTAGGACTGATTAGCTGATCTTAACAGAACACCAGACACAAGTGTAGTTAAAAAAA